AAAAAAAAAAAAAAAAAAAACCTGCTCACAGTCTCCCACACGCCTTTCCCCGGGTCCCCTGTCCTTCAGGAAACACACAGGATCTATAAGCAGAAGCTGGAGGAGCTGGCTGCGCTGCAGGCGTTGTGTAGCAGTTCCATCAGTAAGCAGAAGAAGCACCTCCAGGACTTGAAGCACACACTCCAGAGGTAGGCGCGGCTGCAGCCCGGGGGCCGCCCTGGTTCTGAGGGATGGAAGCCCAACTCTAAACAGGCTGAAGCAGAGAAAGGAAATCTTAGTGGAAAAAGACAGGACCGGAATCTGCTTCAGGCATCACTGGATCCAGGGGCCAAAGGGTATTTTTAGGAATCTGTTTTTTTTCCCTCTAAATTCTGCCTTCCTCTGGATTGGTGTCACTCTCAGGGTGACTGTCCCTCCACCAGCAGTGCCAGGCTTATATTTTCAAGCCTTGCTTTCTGCCAGCTGTGCCACCCCGGCTGAAGGAGAGCTTCTCTCTCTCTTTTTTTTTTTGAAATGGAGTCTCTCACTTCTGTCGCCAAGGCTGGAGTGCAGTGGCATGATTTTGGCTCTCTGCAACCTCTGTCTCCTGGGTTCAAGTAACCGTCCTGCCTCAGCCTCCTGAGTAGCTGGGATTACAGACGTGAGCCACTGCGCCTGGCCGAGAGTTTCTCTTTTCCAGTACTTCAGCACACGTTCTGTATCCAGTCGTCATTGGCTGGGGTTGGTTCAGTGCCCATTTGTGAACCAGTTACTGAGAAGCTGCTTGGGCAGCACCATGTTGTGTGCTCAGTCTGTGGCCCTGGGAGGTGGAGGGACAGCCACATGGGCGGTGGGAGAAGATGAGTAGTTTTCCAGGTGAAAGTTGGATGCTGTTATAGGAAGGTGCCCTGCTGGACAAGTAAACAGGCAGTGTCCTTTCGTGGGTGTGGGGTGCCCTCCCCATTGGGTTCTCTGGTGTAGCGGACACTAAGTTGCCATCCCTGGTGGAGATGTGCTGGAGCTCATAGCTTAGTTAGATTCCCAAGGCCTAGATCATGTTCATTTCCCAACACTCGTGGTCCCAGGTCTGGAAGGCACCTCCTGCCTGGCATATGAAGGGGCCCACTGTGTCCTGTGACCCCCTCTTGTCAGGCAGGGAAACTGAGGCTCCGAGTGACTTGTCCCAGGTCACTTAGCTGGGCCTCCATTTTAGAATCTGGGACTCCTGGTTAACTCTTTCCTTGTGGACAATTTTGGGGGTAGGTCCTGATTATAGCTCTCAGTGTGACTGGCCATTCTGGAAATGGAGGCCCACAACTGAGGGTTGGAGAGTGTGGATGGGCCCACACAAACACATCGCCAGATGTGGCTTGGAAAAACATGTCTTGCTAATGGCAGGACTCAGAGTCCTGAGTCTTTTTTCAGTCTAGGGTTTTTCAGATTCTCAGTGCTTGCTTCATAGATGGGCACATGGCTAACCCAAGTACTATTGACGGTTTGGTGAGTGTTTGTGGGGGGCTGTGCACTGCGGGATACTGAGTAGCATCCTTGGCCTCTGCCCACCGATGCCAGTAGCACTCCCATCCAAGTGTGACCACCAAGATGTCCTCCAGGCATTGCTGGCTGTCCCCAGTTGAGAAGCGCTGGGTTAGAAGGTTTGTGAGTTAGGGTCTTAGACCAAGGACTCCTGCCATTCTGAGATGTGTCTGTTGATTTGTTTTCTAGTTTTGAGAGTTCCGTGTTACCAAAGAATAACAGTCAGACCTTGATTGGTCGACTGTTTATGGTTTCAGGGGCCTTTCTGTCTGTCCTCTTGGTAATCTGTAGGTTATTCTTTTATTTTTTGTTTTTAAAAATTATTTCTATTTATTTATCTATTTTTGAAACAGAGTCTCACATTGTCACCCAAGGTGGGGTGTGGAGTGTAGTGATGCAATCTCAGCTTACTGCAGCCTCCACCCCCTGGGTTCAAGCGATTCTCCTGCCTCAGCCTCCCAAGTAGCTACAATTATAGGTGCCCACCACCACGCCTGGCTAATTTGTGTACTTTTAGTAGAGATGGGGTTTTACCATGTTGGCCAGGCTGGTCTCAAACTCCTGACCTCAAGCAATCTGCCCACCTCGGCCTCCCAAAGTGCTGGGATTACAGGGGTGAGCCACCGTGCCTGGCCTTATTTTTTTTGAGATAGGGTCTTGCTCTGTCACTCAGGCTGGAGTGCAGTGGCACAATCATGGCTTACCATAGTCTTGATCTCCTGGGCTCAAGCCTTCCTCCCACCTCAGCCTCATGAGTCCTAGGCATTTACCTAGGACTTTACCACCACACCTGCTTATTGTTTTTTGTTATTGTTCTTGTTTTTTTGAGACAGTTTCACTTTCTCACTGAGGCTGGAGTGCAGTGGCGCAATCTCCACTCCCACTGCAATCTCTGCCTCCGAGATTCAAGTGATTCTCCTACCTCAGTCTCCTAAGTAGCTGGGATTTCAGGAGCCCGCCTCCATGCCCAGCTAATTTTTGTATTTTTAGTAGAGATAGGGATTTACCATGTTGGCCAGGCTGCTCTTGAACTCCTGACATCAGGTGATCCGCCCACCTTGTCCTCCCAAAGTGCTGGGATTACAGGCGTGAGCCACTGCACCTGGCCCCTGGTTGCGTTGTTTTCTTCTTCG